TCTTTGGGTTTTGGACATTTTAAGATGTCACCTTGAGCTCTGGGAAGTTGCGATTCACAAATCACACATTTTTGACATTTTATACATTAATGATAAACTGATAGGACTGTATTTGAGGATTAACGGATGGATTTTGGACAATAAATAGTAGCAGCCAGCAGTAACAGTGATGGGAGGGGTTGAGTTAGATCCCTGTATGTGACATCCAAGCAGCCAGCAGCATTACTATTGGCCCATTTTATAATAAAGTTTCTAAAAATGGCAAGGAATGGCTTGTACAATGCCTGTAGCACAAACTCAATCGGTCAAATGTTGTACTCTTTGGTGACATTTCAATTTATTGGCAAAACCAGGCATGCTGGGTAAATTTTAAAAAACAAGAATTGTTTGCAGATTTGAGTCCTAATCCTTGTTTGGTCCAGCTCAGTGAGGCTGGATGGTGAAATATGTATTGACCAGACCATCAGACCCTCAACCACTCAGCACGTCTCCTATCACAGAGCCACTTGTTCCACGCCCGCTGCTGCTGCAGCCAGGAGAGGGGGCGGGGCTTCTACAGCTCCAACCACTGTTACATATCATACTGCTGACTGCTCTGGCTGGGGGGTAGTAGTGGAGGGGGGGGAGGGGCTGGTTCTTCTGAGGCAGGGGGAGGCGGAGGCGCTGCGGCCGCATTAGGGTCAGCTGCACTGGAGTTGGCTTCCTGGGCGGCTGGGGGGTCAGGGACTGCCGGGGCCGCAGCTCCAGTGGCGCCGTCTGAGGGAGGAGGGGCCATGCTGTTGCTGTTGCTGCTATTGCTGCAGTCGTCACTGGGGGCACTGCTGTTAGGAGTGCTGCTCTCCCTGGGGGGCTCAGGGGGAGGGGTTGCTTTATCAGAGGCAGAAGAGGGGGGGTCAGACGGAGGGGGGGGTGCAGGTTGGGGGTCTGACGAAGGCTCTGCAGGTGTCGCCTCATCTGGGGAGGGAATGAAGGACAATGAATGTCGGAACATGTTTCAAACTCCCGTTAATAATATTTGATACTGACTTTTATCAAAAGTCCAAAAAGAAATATGTTGGTCCATCTCTAAACAGTGTCCCTAGTGTGCATGTGGCTCCAAACCCATTGGTTCCTACTGTTCAGTTCATGTGTTATCAGACTCTATTGCAATGTGGAATTCAAGATTTCATCCCAGACTAAAAATGTATAGATTTTGTTAAACAAACATTAAGCGTAGGTACCTGTCTCCATTGGTGTGGGCTTGTCCTCCTCCTTGGTCCCTGAGGTGGGGTTAGCTGTGCTGCTAGCATTAGCACTACTTTGCTCTGCAGCTTTGTTCCCAGCAGCCTCCTGCTGCTGTTGTTGCTGTTGTTGTTGTTGCTGCTGCTGCTGTTGCTGCTGCTGTTGCTGCTGTTGTTGTTGTTGTTGAGCCTGCTGAGCAGCTTTCTCTGCCTGCTCGGCCGCCTCGCGCTCTCTCTCCTCTGCCCGGCGCCTGGCTGCCTCCTCGGCAGCAGCCATCTCTGCTGCTAGCTTCTCCATGTCCACCTCAACCTTCTGACTGCACAGCTGGAGACACAGGGAACAATTGTGAAAGGATGTCTTCAACAAAACAGTTTTCTATTTACATAATTAACCTTAAAGCCCCCTCCAGTCAGAAATCAGTGTCCTTCCTTCCTCTACAGTGCGCGTGTTTTGAAATGCCCTGTCTGTGCAAGAGTTTGACCACTGGAAGGATGATTTTTACATCCATCTGCTGAAATGGAAAGTTTCTCTGTTCTCACTGAAAATCTGATTTTAAGGGGCGTGATTGTGGACCATCACAAATAGTCATGAAGTCAGTCCTGGTCCAGTATCAACTTGTACAGTGTGATGTGAACACTTGAAGCTCCAGTGCACATCCACCTGAGAATCGGACTTTACAGTGGAAGAGGAGACATTTTGTGTCCAGCAGCAAAACTATTCATAGATTCTGGAATTTTTAATGAGGCATAAGGGGTAGATGTCCTTTTAATGTGGAAGTTATAATACATTTTTTGTTGCAAACAAATGATTTACGTTATTTTTCCAAGCAGACTATTTGTATTATGTCTTGGTGGATTTCTGGAGGCAAAGCCAAGGTGGCACGAGGAGAACATGGGTTCAAGAATTAGTACAAATAAAGTGAGTATCATTCAGCATCAATGTACACAATATATGAGTGGTAATCCTCTCTGTTTAGGTCTCTGGCTAAATAAGTAGCACCATACCCGCTTGAGTTCAGTGTTGAATGAGTCAGTGGTCTCCAGGAAGCGCCTTTTCTTGTCCTGGTGGCGATCCTCAATCTGCAGAAGTTCTGCCTCCAGCTTTCTCTGAAACACACCAGAGTTACTGGTGAAACACACTGCGTGTCTCTAAGGTGGACAACATTCTCCAATAGCATAAACATGGCTACCAAGCTGCTGGTGATAATGCCCATTCAACCCACCTGGTGCACCATAAGAGACTGGACCTGCCTCTTGAGGACCTGCATGCGGGCTGTGGTGACCACGGAGCGGACGTCAGGCACCACAATCTCACTGAGGATGTCGCTGATGAGCCGGTGGTTCCTCTGGAAGCGGGCGGCTGCTGTGTGCTTCACTGAAAAACCGTCGTCGTAGTCTGGACAGAGGTAATGCACCATACACCATGAGGGAGCAGGTTGACTGCTTACATTTACACATGCCTTTAACATTTCCGTCCTCAAATTACCTTCAAAACATCTTATGTTTAAGTACAAAAAGTAAGTGCCACACATTGTCATTATAAATGCTTTCCTTTCCATTCTGTTTTTAAGCCATTTATTTTCTCCATATCTAAAACGTACCATCAGGGTCCTCAGCGGGCTGAATGCTCATGTATGGCTCCCCTTTGTCCATACGACTCTGCCTCTGTCTGCTCTCCTCCTCCATTGCGGCCTCAGCCCGGTTCTTAGCGTTGACGTAGGCCAGGTAGGCTGGCGAGTTGTGGTACGCCTTTAAAGAGTCGTTATACTCGATCTAAAAGGGAGGGAAGAAAAAGTAGATGGGAAAATAAGACGAGTTGTCTGGCTCTACTGTGTGAAGATGGCTTGTGAAACGTTTCATGTGTTTTCAACTTTGAGGATTTCTTGGGGGTTTTGAGCCTACTCTGGTTCACTTGAAAATAAGTGCTTGTTGTTATTCACAATAATATAAGATGAACAAATGAGCAAAATAAGAATGAACAGGAGCGCTGTGTCCTGGATTAGTTAAACTATTATATAATTCTGATTAATGGATGTCATCCAATTAAATCCCAACAGTTTTCTGGTTCTGGCCTTTAAATGTCTGTTGCTCTCCTATTGACAGACTGAAGCTGTATTTAAAAAGGACATCTCTTCGTATTTGTTTGGAGGCGACAGACATTTGTAAATAAATAAATAATTGTAACCCACAGTAGCTGTGGAGTTTTCCTTTCCACCAACACAATTTGATTTCAAAGATTTATAGACAACAGAACGGTGCAGACCTGAGGCTCAGCAGTGATTAGGACACTTCACAGCTCACCTTCTCAGCCTCATACTCGTTCAGGTAGTCCTGTTTCTCCTCATCAGTCAGGTCCCTCCACATCCCTCCGATAATCTTTCCAATCTCCCACAGCTTAAGGTCCGGGTTGGATGCCTTCACTTGGTCCCATACCTTGCATGCACGCACGCACACACAAAAACCACATACTGTCACTACAGGGCCATTACAGTTAATGGCAAGTTAGATTACTGCAAGACAGTGCAGGAAATAAAGGAGGAAAAGTGCAAAGGAATGAAAAAATTAGTTCCAAAATGACAAATATCTTTAGAATTGCAAACTGGGATAATGGTAAAGCACATTTGTAGTGGCCCTGAAACTTCAACAGACTGCAACTTACTCCAGTCAGAAATCAGTGTCCCTTCCGTGTTCCCGTACAGCTGCTTGCTGTGTTGAATGCTTGTCTGTGCAGATTCTTGACCACTGGGAAGGATGTTTTTATATTCCATCTGGCCTTGCAGGAAGTTGCGAACATTTCTTCTGTTGCCTCAGCTGCAAAAATCTTGATTTTTTAACATGGTTGTGCGTGGGAGTGCGACACAATACGTTCACTGAAGTCGAGCCTGGTCTTTTTGCGTCCAGTATCGAACTGTTACAGTTGTGATGTCGAAGACTTGTTGAACGCCACCAGTTTTACACATCCCACTTTGAGAATTTTGGGACTTTAAGGTGAGAAAAGGGAGGAGACATCAACTTTAAAAATTAACACAATGTGCATATTCAGAGATTGTGGAATTTTTAAGTGACTTAATGCTTTTTCATGGTGCCTTCATTGTAAAAACATATCAGACACACATTATTTGTATAGTTTGTATAGTGTATTAATGTCTTGAGGGGTCGTTAAGAAAATGTCTTCAGTTATGGGACAACACATGCGCTGCATTTAGACAAAATGCTGCCATGGGAGAAAACAACCAAATACAGTGTTTCCAGGGGACACTTCAGTGACTTCATGAGTCACAAACCATGACAACATGCATGTTAAACCTTTCCGTGTCCCTTGTCATCTGTGCTACTTGCAAAGTTTCTGGATTTGCTTGTTTTTTTCCCATTTGCATGTGTTTTTTTAAGTTGCAGTGCCTCGAGCTCTCAGGGCCACCGTAAACATTGTCTCACAAATGGAATGGGATGAAATCTTTCTAAAGACAGAATCACCAGTTTTAATGCAATGTGAATCTTAGTAGATTCTGTCTTTCTGCTGTATTCAATGTCAAACATTCAGCTCTAAAAGTAGAGAAGCAGCAAAGCGATAAGCACAAAAGGGGGAAATGAAGGCAGGAGCAGATCATGCTTGCAGAAGGAAACACAAAGAGATGTTTTAATTTCTCTTTATGGTTGACAAACAGGAGGCTTCTGTGAGCCAACGGGATAACAGAGTGGAGAGTCTCCACTAGGTGGTTGAGGTGGTGGTGAAGGCGTCATGGCTTGGCTGTTTCCCACCCTAAGACCCCTGCAACTTTTCAGGGGAATGGGAGGACAAGCAGTAAAAGCAGACACCGTGGATGGGTGTCTTACCTTCCTGCTTACCTTCCGGCTGTACCGCATGTAAGGCATCAGTGGCTTGTCTGGAGGTTTGGGCGGCTTTGGGACGGTGATGCCTGAGGAGTTCTGTGGAAGGAAGACAGAGAGCGAGATAAGAGGGGCAAAGAGGGGGAGAAAAGTGTGAATGAGGAGATGGAGGGGGTGTAGATGAAGGGGAAACAAACAAAAAAAAAAAAGGGACAGAGGTTGAGAGAGAGAAAAGCAAAAAATAAATTACAGTCATAAAACGTCAGCTGATTATGGTCCGATAGTGGTGAGGCTTGAGTAAAGGCAAAATAAGAAGTGTACATGTAAAAATGACAATACATAACTCTTAGGTGGTCCTGAATGCTTCCTTACAGCTGGACAAATGCATTTATTATGCATGTCAACTCATTTACATGCATGTATGGAACCACCAGGAACTAAATCAATCATTCTTGTTTGCATTTCCACCACATCTGAAGAACCGTGAAGACTAGGAGAATTACACCCATTAGACTGCTAAACGTAGGCCAACCGAGAGGTGTAATGTGGTGCCCCATAATAGCACCAGCCCCGCCTCGACGACAACATCACACACACCACACAGCGTGGTCTCCTCTGATTCGCACCAGCAATCAGAGAAGAGCACTGAAAGGCATCACCTCGCTCTCTAACAGATGCGAGGAACATTTCAGAAGGTCAAATTCACCTACCTCAAACTCTATATTTCAGACAGAGAGTCTTATAAAAGGTGGAACTGTTTAGTTCATGTGTGTTCTAACGGTGTACCGCATTAGCTTTACAGGCTAGTGCCATTTATAGAAAAAAAAAAAAAAGAAAAAAAAAGAATTCCCCATGTAACAGTCTGTCTACATGTTAGCATACATGTTCTGCTGATGTACATTTTAAAGTACATAAAATAATAATTTGACCACTTAAGTGACAAATCAATTGGCTGTTCAGAAACATCTTAAAAACAGAACAGTAGATGCAGTGGCCTTTTCAAGGCGACAAGAAGCGGTGGCTGCGGACACACCATTGTCCTATTCCCCAGTGGTGACGGGCATCAACTGGCCAGAAAATGAGCAATCTTACTAAACTTGTTTCACTTATGGGGTAAGACTGCGCAATGCTAAGAGAGCTTGGTTTGGCATGGACACATGGACAGGTTTTATCCTAACTGTTGTTGTTTGACCATGGCAGCTGGTGAGAAATCTTGCTTCGGGGTGTACAGAGTATTAGTTATTGTCTCAAAAAAATGATAAACTTTGCAGGCTGATGTGATTGCCCTGTGTTCTCAAAGCTTTTCAAGGGGACATACAGATTGGTAAATCATTAATCACAACAATTGATTGCAGTTTCCCCATTTTTCATTTACAAGTTTCCACAATTGTTTTTATTTGCTAACCGAATGAAAGAAAAAGGTTCCGTGTAACTGAATATAAAATAGTGTGGGGTTGGTGCCTGCATGGAAAAGTGTACGAGTCACAATTATTGTGATAGTTTAAAACCGATGCTAAAAACATCCCTTTATACTGTCATGTACTTTCCAAAATGATTCACTCTAGACCATGTTCTTTTTTGGTATAATAACAAAACTAATTTGTTAAGAAACTAAATTTAAAGTAATCCTCAATACTTAGCAAGCTACTAATGTGTTATAAGTTAACTACTACATACCACAGCTTTGTTGTGTCACATTTAGTCGCAAGAATTAACAAAAGCCCAACAGAGCTGTCTGCATCCTGCACTGAGCCCAACTGTGGCATATTTCAGTATTTGGCCAGGGAAATGATGGTGAAACTGTTTGAGCTGTAAATGAGCCGCTTGTATAAAACAGAATCCCCCCGCCCCCCAAACCTGATTTCCTTACTTTAATGTTTCTGCCCCGACTATCAACCCATTTCTTCTATCGTGTTTCACTGATCGTCTGTTTACATCTTATCTTCCCCTTGTTCAACCCCCACCACCTCTTTTCATCCGCTTCTGTGTGCATTAGCCTCATCTTTTAAGCCTTTTTATGCTCCTCTCTCACTTTCCCCGTAGCTGTGCACCTATATGTAGCCCAAGACAGCTTCTTCCTACCCCTCCCTCTTAACCTGCACCCATCTGTTTTTTTTCTCCAAATCCCTCCATCAATTCATTACCCTGCTGGAGCCTCCGGAGCTCCCTCCCAGCCGGAGGTTGTTGTAGGCCAGATGGCTGTAAGGGTTGTAGCCCACAAACCCTGGGGTGGAAGGCATTTGCTGATGGAAGACAAATGAGACAAAACACGAATGAGAAATGGCTCACAAACAAGAGGAGGAAGAGGGATAAACATAAATAAGTGAAAAGGGGGGAAAACGTGAAAATATATGTATATTGTTTTGCTTGTTTGTTCTCAATGAGCGTCACCATGCAAGGCGAAAAATAAAAGGCAAGTGGCCGGCATTCAGATTGAGTGCACGTGTAAATGCACGTGTAAATGTATCATGTAAATGTATCATCCCCCCATCAGGCAAAAGTTGCATTTGATTACCAATGTGACTTTACACAATGCTGTGCCCTGCCACTGCAGGTAAGGAAATAAAAAGCATCAAAACAAGCATGTCGATTCTACAACTGTACACAGTCTGTGCTTAAACTCTAAACTCTCTCTTAAAGAAACGTGTTCCCCCGTAGGAATAACGCTCTGTAAAAGTACACAAAGAACAGTGACCCCTTCAGCATCAGACCTTCAATAAGTGGTGATATGACAGGAAAAAGCAGGAGTGAAAGCGATGATGGAGAGCTGAACAAATCTGTGGCAGCCTCGGTGTTTTCAGACAGAGAAAGAAATTAAATGAAAGTAATATAAAATGTGAGAGAGAGGGAGTAAGACAGCAAGAAAGAAAGATAAAAAGGACCCCAAAAGAGTGTACAGAGCTAACATGACTTTGAACAGTAAACGCTGAGACTGGCACTGAGGGTTGGACACTTACTGTTGTGGGGGCAGGGGGAGGGGGAGGGGCGTAGGATGGTCGTTCTGTGCGAGAAGGAAAAGGAAATGTTAGACAGGCATTACAACCTCCCACTGGTTTATTTATTGTAAGGCTATTGTTTATGTACACACTTATGCTTCAATGATTTGTTTCATTCATAATACTGCCATGAGTTGTACCTGGTTTAGTTCTGGCAGAATACAGGAGAACATACCCTGACCCATGTGGAATTTTTTTAGACAATGCCGATTTTAGTGTGGGAATTCACTGATTACCTGGTGGCCAATACAGTAACACCAGTATGACTCTGCAAAGGTACTCAGACGGCTGCTTTCTTAAAGAAATAACTTTAAGAAAGAAAATTTAAATTAAACACGTTCATTAAGTGAACATATACATTGTCAAACAATTCTAATCAACATTGCTGCTTCTCTTTGTGCTGCTTGCCACAGTATTGTAAATCACAGCGAACTCTGGTGGATCAATACTGCAGTGACACACATTCATTACAAGCTCTTCTAATAATAATTCTGTAGATACTGAAATAAAAAGCTGTTTTCTTCATCCCGCCTGAAAAACAATGTTGTGCAAAGCCTGGGCAGTTATGTAAGTGGACTGATATCCTTCCAATGCACCAAGAAAGACTGAATACTTCATGAATTAAATAAAAACATGCAAACTTTGTAAACGTTCTGATTGTGATGAGCCCTTTTTTTGTTATTAATTGTTAACATAATTCACAAAATAGATAAATTGATAATGAAAATAATGAGTTGCAGCCTTACTCTTAGCTAAGGGCTGTGTTAAAGAAAGCAAAGTGTTATTCACTATTGTTTTCTTACAAATGATCATTTAGACACCAATGAAGTGAGCTTTCGTTACCATTACTAACGTGTATGTTTACTTACTTGACATCGTGGCTGGAGATTGGGCTAAGGAGAGCAGCCTATTTCCATATTGGTTAACCTGGGTAAGAAAACACGACAAAATATAAATAACCCACACAAATTAACAACTACAATAACTCGGCTACTACAATTGGTCGTCTGGTAGACAAAGCATCAAAGAGACGTCGGTAAATGACAGAATATGCCCGAGTAAAGCCTAACTAATAATGACAACAATGGCTGACGGGGCTTAAAAAGCTAGCTTACCCGGCCTGGCCTTTTAGCAAACCTGCTAACACAAAGAGATCATATGTCCCATAATAATGCTAACGGTGAGGTCCAATTCAATTCACTTCGAAACATTTAAGTTATAGAAACCAGCAAACACACAATATGCTCGTATTCGCAGACCGGTTGACGCCTCTGAAGTGTGCAGCGAGTTCAAGATATTAGAATAAACCTTGCTATTGCAGCTAGGCTAACGAACGATACAATCTCCCGCTGCTGCTACGCACATGGGGCAAATTAGTCACTTTAACTAGCCGAGTTAGTTAGTGGTACAGCGAATCCATTCGAGTACATTTTAAATGTAAGGTGTAAAATTGTAACATTTTCAAGTAACTGTGTTGGAAACAACGTAAACATACTCACTCAGTCGTCCTTTGTTCCCTCCGTACGGCCGCTTCAAGCGGCGCTTGTTCCGCCTTTCAAACTCAGACCGGAAGTGCTTTTTTTTCCTGGCCGGCGGAAAGGATGTTTTCAGAATAAAAGCTTAGTTACTTCAAATACTTAGGCTGCCTCAACAAAATAACAGCAGGATCTTCAAAGATCAATATTAGTAATATTGCTCTTTGAAGATGACTTATATTACACAAACAAAATTGGAGTTATTGGGAGATCAGGTTGGGTAGTCTATGGCCAATAATAATACGGTAGAAATAGGCAAGCCAAAAATCCTGGTCTCATCATTGAACCAATTCTAAATTCTAAAAGCCAGATATACAATAGCTGTAAGATACACATGAATAAGTTTCATTAAAAGTCTGCTAATTGATTTTCTTTTCATAGTTTTCATAATATATATTCTACTTAAAGTTCAACACTTTCCTGAAAAATCCTATTCTTAATCTGACACAAAGTTACTGGTATGTAGAGATCCTGCTAATAAAATGGAAATTTTTTAGACCAAATATCGTGCTTGGTTGATCACTTTTAGAGGACACACAGATAAGAAAGCAAAGTCACACTTTGATTACCTTGGCTCTTTCAGGAAGTTGTGTATACAAAGATCTCTGCTAATTTGGATGATTTGCAAAACCTAAATTTGCAAACTAATCCCTTTTCCACGAATGGAACACAGAATGAATAGAGGCTGATTTTACTTTGGAAAAAATATTTTTTGAGGAGCAGACATAAGTCAGATACATTTTGTGTGTGTTATATGATACATTTTAAACAATATGTATGTGCTATACAGCACATTTTAACAACTCGAGTGTTAGTATCTTATTTTGCACTTTGGGCATCCAGATGTGCAACATATTCCAAAGAGAATAAATAAGTAAGTTAGTTGTACATCACATTCTTGGGATTAATATTCCATATAGTATAAGTAGGCAACAATTTCAAACAATTTCTATTTTCAGGTGATTATACACTAATGAAAATGTACCTATGAATATTATATTCCATTTTTGCCAATAGATCCTCTTAAATGTTACACACTGGACCTTTAAAGCTCTTAGAATACACAGTTAGACATGAATAGAATCAGAAAAACAATAACAAATCATTAAGTATGTAAAAATGTACAGTACACTGTAAGGTTAACTGTCCCCGACCCATACATATTACCTAGACACGGAGACATAGGGTTAATGAAACAGCATAATGAGAAAGCAAGGCAACAATTGTCCAGAGGCTTGAGACTCTCAGCGGTTAATAAAATGGAAGTAATCTGTTTTAGACCAAATATCGTGCTTGGTGGATTACTTTTAGAGGACACACAGATAACAAAGCAGAGTCACACTTTGATAACATTGGCTCTCTCTGGAAGTTGTGTATACAAATATCTCTGCTAATTTGGATGATTTGCAAAACCTGAATTTGCAAACGAATCCCTTTTCCTTTTTTTGATAAGCAGACAAGTACTACTATTAGAATACTATATAATATAAAATACTATTACAATAAAAACATCCACTATCATACCAGTACCTAAAAAACCCCGCCCCTCAGAACTTAATCACTATCGGCCAGTCGCACTCACTCCCATTATCATGAAATGTCTCAAAAAACTGATACTTAACATCATCC